CTGGGATTACAGGCTTGAGCCACCGCGCCCGGCCAATATTTTACATTTTTATAGTATACACATGAGTATTTGTTACATGCATAGAATGTGTAATGATCAAGTCAGAGTATTTGCTGTATCCATTATCTTGAGTATTTATCATTTCTATGTGTTGGTAACGTTTCAAGTCCTTTCTTCCAGCTCCTTTGAAACATACAATACATTGTTGCTAACTATAGTCACGCTATTCTGCTTTTGAATGTTGGGGATTATTTCTTCTGTAATTACAAGTTTGTATTCACCAATCAACCTTTCGTTATCGACCCCTCCCACCCCCACACACTTCCCATTCTCGTATCTATCATTCTACTCTCTATCTCCATGAGAACAATTTTTTAGGTCCCACATATGAGTGAGAACATGTAGCCTTTCGGTACCTGGCTTATTTCACTTAACATAATGACATCCAGTTCCATCCGTGTTGCTGCAAATGATAGGATTTCATTCTTTTTTGTGGTTGACTAGTATTCCATTCAGTAGCTGTACCACATTTTCTTTATTCAACTGTCAGTGGACACTTAGGTTGAGTCTTTATCTTTGCTACTGTGAATAATGCTGCCATAAACACGCAAGTGCAGGTATCCCTTTGACATACAGATTTCTTTCCCTTTGGATAAATATCCAGTAGTGGGATTGCTGGATCATGTGGTAGTTCTATTTTTAGCTTTTTGAGAAATCTCCATATTGTTTTCCGTAGTGGTTGTACTAATTTACACTTCCACCAACACTGTATAGGAGTTCCCTTTTCTCCACATCCTCATCAACGTCTGTTATTTTTTGTCTTTTAGTAGTTGCCATTCTAACTGGGATAAGATGATATCTCATTGTGGTTTTGATTTGCATTTCTCTGATAACTAGTGAGGTTGAGCATTTTTAAATATACACGTTGGCCATTTGTATGTCTTATTTTGAGAAATATCTGCTCATGTCCTTCACCCACTTTTTAATGGAATTATTTGCTTTTTTTATTGTTGAGTTGTTTGAGTTCTTTGTAAATTCTGGATATTAATCTTTTGTTGAGTGAATAATTTGCAAATATTTTCTTCAACGGGTTATCTCTTCAGTCTGTCAATTGTTTCCTTTGCTGTGAAGAAGCTTTTTAGTTTAATATAGTCTCATTTGTTTATTTTTATTATAGTCGTCTGTGCTTTTGAGGTCTTAATAATAAATCTTTGACTAGAACAATGTCTTGAAGTTTTTTCTGCATGTTTTCTTTTCTAGTAGTTGAATAGCTTCAGGTCTTACATTTAAGTCTTTAATCTATCTTAAGTTGACTTTTGTATATGGGGAGAGATAGGGAATCTAGTCTCATTCTTTTGCATATGGATATCCTGTTTCCCCAGCAACATTTATTAAACAGGGCATCCTTTCACCAGTGTATGTTCTTGGCACCTTTATTAAAAATCAGTTGCCTGCAAATGTGTGGATTTATTTCTGAACTGATTTGTTCCATTGGTCTATGTGTCTATTTTCATACCAATACCATGCTTTTTTGGTTACTATAGCCTTGTAATATGTTTTGAAGTCAGGTAGTGTGGTAGTTCCAGATTTTTCCCCTTTTGCTCAGAATTGCTTTGGCTAGTGGGCTCTTTTTTTGGTTCCATTTGAATTTCAAGATTATTTCTTCTAATTCTGTGAAAAATGACATTGGTACAGTATGGCTTTTTTTTTTTTTTTTTTTTTTTTTTTTTTTTTTTTTTTGAGATGGAATCTTGCTCTGTTGCCAGGCTGGAGTGCAGTGGCACGATCTTGGCTCACTGCAACCTCTGACTTCTTGGTTCAAGTGATTCTCCTGCCTCAGCCTCCTGAGTAGCTAGGATTATAGGCACATGCCACCACACCCAGCTAATTTTTGTATTTTTAGTAGAGATGGGGTTTCACCATGTTGGTCAGGATGGTCTCAATCTCCTGACATGGTGATCTGCCCACCTCAGCATCCCAAAGTGCTGGGATTATAGGCATGAGCCACCACACCCGGCCTGTATGGCCTTTTTAATGATATTAATTCTTCTGGTTCCTAAGTATGAGATATCTTTCCATTTGTTTGCATCTTCTTTAATTTCTTGCATCAGTGTTTTTTAGTTTTCCTTGTAGAGATCTTTTACCTCTTTGGTAAAGTTTATTTCTAGGTATTTTATTTTTTTTGTAGCTATTGTAAATGGGATTGCATTCTAGATTTCTCTCCCATCTAGTTCACCATTGGTGTTTAGAAACACTACTGATTTTTGTATGTTGATTTTGTATCCTGCAGCTTTACTGAATTTATTGATCAAATGTAGGACGTGTTTTAGTTGAGTTTAGGTTTTTCTCAACATAAGATCATATTATCAGCAAAAGGGGACAATTTGACTTCTTCTTTTCCAACTTGTATGCCTTTTATTTCTTTCTCTTGCCTAATTGCTCTGGCTGGGACTTCCAGTATTATGTTGAATAGGAATGGTGAAAGCAGGCATCCTTTTCTTGTTCCAGATCACAGAGGAAAGTCTTTCAGCTTTTCCCCTTTCAGTATGATACTCTGTTCATAGTTTGTTGAGAGTTTTTATATGAAGAATTGTTAAATTTTATCAAATGCTTTTTCTGCATCTATTGAGATGATCATATGATTTGTGTCCTTCATTCTGTTGATATGATATATTATGTTTATTGATTTGCATATGTCGAATAATCCTTGCATTCCTGGATAAATCCCATCTGATCATGCTGTATTATCTTTTTGATGTGCTGTTGGATTTGATTTGCTGGTATTTTATTGAGGAGTTTTTGTCTATGTTCGTCAAAGATATTGGCCTGTCATTTTCTTTTGTTGTGTCCTTGTCTGGTTTTGGTTTCAGGGTAATGCTGGCCTTGTGGAATGAGTTAGGAAGAGTTATCTCCAATTCAATTTTTTGTCATGGTTTCAAGAGGATTGGTATTTGTTCTACTTTATATGTTTGGTACAATTTGACTTTAAATCAGTCTAGTCATGGGCGTTTCTTTGTTGAGAGGCTTTTATTACTGATTCGATCTCACTACTCATAATTGGTCTCTTCAGTTTTCTATTTCTTCTGGGTTTAATCTTGGTAGATTATATATTCCATGAATTTATTTATTTCCTCTAGGTTCCAGTTTGCCAATGTATAGTTTTTTATAATAGTCTCTGGTGGTCTTGAATTTCATGGTATCAGTTGCATTGCCTCCCTTTTCATTTCTGATTTTGTTTATTTAGTTCTTTTCTTGATTAGTCTAACTAGTGGTTTATCAAGTTTGTTTAACTTTTTGAATAACCAAATTTTCATTTTCTTGATCCTCTGTATTGTTTCTTAGTCTCTATTTCATTTAGCTCTACTCTGATCTTTATTATTAATTTCCTTCTGCTAATTTTGGGTTTGGTTTGTTCTTGCTTTTCTGGTTCCTTGAGGAGCATTGTTAGGTTGTTTATTTGAAATATTTCTACTTTTTTGGTGTTGGTGTTGCCTGCTGTGAATGTCCCTGTAAGTACTGCTTTTGCTGAATCCCACAGGTTTTGGCATGTTGTGTTCCCATTTCCATTTGTTTCAAGAATTTTTTTGATTTCCATCTTAATTTCTTCATTGACCCAATGGAGCATGTTGTTTAATTTCCATGTATTTGTACAGTTTCCAAAGTTCCTATTTATATTGATTTCTATATTCTGTAATTGGATCAAATGTTCTGTAAATATCCATTAGGTCTATTTGGTCTAAAGTCCAGTTTAAATCCAATGATTCTCTGTTGATTTTTTTGTTTCAATGGTCTGTCTAATGCTGAGCATGGGATGTTGAAGTCCCCCACTATGATTGTATTGGAGTCTATCTCTCACTTTAGATCTAGTAACATTCACTTTATGAATCAGGGTGCTTTTTCATGTTTCCCGTGTTCTTACATTAATACATGTATCTGTTCATCTTGTAGAACAGTTGCTTTTTCTAATTTTTTGAATTTACTTTTGTAGGGGAGGATTTTTCCTGAAGTTGTATATATGTTGTATATGTTGTTGGTTGAATAGGGCACTTAAAGCATACTGTCAACCTTATAGGGCCCAGGGCACAAGGACTGATCTACTTTAGTGGGCTGTGGTTTCAACTTCAGTTTAGTTTTTAAAGACTTTTCAGTACTATTGGGATATTACCTGTGTGTGTCTCCCAGGACACACTATATTCTAGTTCAGTTCTCAGAGCCTTTATTTAGTGAGCTGTTTTGGGTCAGTTCCATACCTGCATAGCTTGTGGGTGGATCCAGTCTTCATGCACAACTTTATTGGATGGTTTTCTCAAGCTCCCTTTTCCCTGTGCTTTTATCCAAAACTCTTGACTCCCAAGGGCCCCCTTACTTCTTAAGGCCTCAGTTTGGAGCTGTAACTGCCACTTCTATCAGTGTTACTTTAGGCAAAGCAAGTCCAAGATCAGGGACAGGAAACCGTACCCTGCCTGTTCCGGTGCTCTGCAAGGGCATATGGCAGAGGTGGGAAGGGAATGAAGAGTTGGGAACAAACACCCAACCTACCATTGTAACACTGCAGACTCACAACCAAATCACAGAACACCAAGGCCTCAGATGTCTCCAGCTGGGGTGTCCCAAGTCCTCTGGATTCCTGGTGTCACTGTCTCCTTTCATGTCTTATAAACTGGCTTAAGCCCCATCTCAGGCACTGTGCAATGTCCAGGGGACTCCCTGTGGGGTCTACAAATTCCCTGGGGCTGGGTCTCCTGATCACTGCTTACCCTGATTTTCTTTTCCTGCTAAATTTTTCCATCTCCTTCTTATACTTTCCTCCCCACCTCCATCCACCTCATACTAAGCTCTGAGCCAAAACCCCCGCCTTGCTTGACTGAGCAAAAAACCATCTATTTTGAGCTTCTACTCTTCAGATGCTTGTATGTGGGCTCCCCTTTCCCCAGCTAACTCAATAACATTCTGAAGTGGGTAAACTACTTGTCTGGGTAAGAAAATAAATGAAAGGGAAATAGTATGAAGATTTATTCCCCAATGAACTCCTTCTTTCTGGAGTTGTGTTATCGGGGGAGTATCTTTTCTTTATTCTTATTGCTCGTGTTAACATTTTAAGGCATTGAGAAAGTCTGTGGCAAGGAAACCAGTTTGCCAGGTAGTTGTTGTTTAATCCAGTCTTTCCAAAATGTGCGTGGCCGTCGTTGTTTAATCCGGTCTTTCCAAAATGTGCTTGGCCATGGCGTGTCTTTGTCATGGATCATCCATTAACACCTGAAAACCCAGGGAGCGGGAAAAAGTGCCTAAGACAGGGGTTGTTGTGAGGGTCAAATGGAAGAAGGTGAGCTTCAAGTATTTTCTGGTGACCAGTTAGTGGAGCTTCCCCTTCCACTCCAGAGACTACTCCTGCCCCACCCCCAATCCCCATTATCCTGAAAAAATTATCCAAATGAGGCCACTTTTGAGAGCAAAAGAAGCATAATTAATGTCTACACTAGGATAGTAGTAGGCATAAACTAGACTGTGCTGGGCAAAGTGGATCATATGGTCACCCTGCCCACTCTCTTTACAGCTGGTGGTGGCTGTTGCAAAATCCAGACTACAAATGAACTGAGTTTTCTGTTGACCTCTCTTTCCCCACCTGTGAAGTGAGGGGTTCTCAATTTTTTTTTTCATTTATTCAATTATCAACAACCATGTAACACACCTCTCCTAGTTGCCAGTACTGTGTAGGCCTTAGCCACAGTGAATGAGACATTTCCCATCTTCAATGTCTTCAATGAGACTTTTCCAGATCATGTAGAAGGAGAGACAGATGACAGGATCATTAGGGATCATGGCCTCTGCTTCACCTTGACCTTTAACCCTCAATCCATGAACAAAGACCAATCTAGAAGGGCCTTTTGGTGGTGGATCCTGGCTGTAATCACAGGAGGATCTCCCAGTACCTGGAGGCCTCCCCACATCTGCACTAGTTCAAACAATTTCCAGGCCAGAGTCTTACCTAGTGAGTTAGTGGAGACTTCTTCTCCAGGCCACTTCTTCTCCAGCTGGCAGCGCTAATCACGACTCACCTGCTGCTTTGGAGAAGGATTACCTGTCAAGGTTCATTTGAGCTGTGGGCTTCCCAGAGAACCCCTGCTCCCCACCAAACAGCTCTGATGGCAGCTAAGGGGCTGCTCCCCAGGAAGTGAGAGGGAGGAAAATTACCTTTCGTACGTTGTTGCCTGTTTGGCCAGACAGTTGCAGCAATAGCTTGTGTCCTGCCAAGCCTGATAACAGGACTGTCATGGTCTGGGGACAGACTGGCCCTGGGAGGTGAGCAATGAAGATTCCAGGAAACTGTGGAGATTGCCTGCAATTTGGACCACTCAAATTAGATTGCCTCAGTGAGTGATTTCAGGCTCTACAAATTGCACCTTGAGCAGGGTCTGTTATAGTGCTTCCTTGAGCCCTATTAGCTCTTACAGTTTTCCTAAAGACCATCACCATTAAAGACAGCTGAATTTGAGCTTACTACATGCCTGTGTGTGACCAGGTATGTGACAGTTGATATGTTACTTCATGGAAACAATAATTTATGGAGATAATAACTGTATCAATTAGGACCCTTTTTATTATAAGGGAAAGAAATGCAGAAGCAGAACTATAGGCTTTTTAAGTAAAAAGTCTAGAGGAATTTCAGGTATGGCTGAATCCAGGTGCTCAAATGAGGTCTTCAGGAATCCACCTCTCTCTGCTTTTCTCCTTACTTGTCTACTAGGCAGGCCTGCTCTTCCTGGTGGCCCCTAGAAATTGCAGGAGAAGGTAGAGCTTCACTAGCCCAGTAATTCCAAAAGTCTTAGAATAGAATTTCACTGGTTAGTGCTAAGTCATGTGCCCATGCCTGAGCTAAGTACTAAGGCCGGAGGAATAGGATGCTCTAATTGGCCAGGCTGAGGCCATGAGCCCACCTCTTGGAACTCAAAGGACCTAGGAGGGGGTGACAGTGGGTCCCCAAATGGAGGAGCCATAACTCCAGAGAAAGGAGAAGTGGGTGTCAAGTCGACAAAAATAGCCTTTTTAGTAGGCATGAGATTCACCATTTTTATCAAAGGCACTGACCAATCAGAAGGGAGGCTGCCAGAGCAGGGTGGGAAATAAATTCTCTGGGTGCTGGACTGTGAGGAGCTGGGGCAGGGGGCACCAGGTGAGGGGCTGGGGCGGTATGGGAGCATCTGAGGCTCAGGGTGGCAACCCCTACTAGCCAATATGGACATCTTTGCCCTGGCCGTTCCAGTGAGTCCTGGTGAACATGCCCTGACGGCTGCTGCTTTGCCTAGACCAGCCCTTGTTTTCTTGGGTCCTCACTTGCACTCCACTTTGGCAGGTGGCTCGGACTTGCCTGTGCGCATTTTCTCTCTAGACCTCTTGTTAACAGGTGTGTGTCATTGTTCAGAACAGCCTGGCCACCCCAGGCCACCAGCCTGGGAGATAGACATTAGCAGATGGCATGGCGCCAGCCTCCTGAAGTGTCTGTGCTGCTGCTGTGTTTGAGAATCTCGGGCCTCAGGCTAATCTGTATCAACCTCAGAACAGTGACATTTACATGGCACTCAGTGGTACTAGATCCTGCCTAGGCATCTAAGGGAGTTATTCTGAAGGATGGAGGATGGAAGACATGGGCAGGAATAGCAGGAGAGCCACTTGGGTTCCATTTGTGAAACAAGTGTCATGGGGACTCGAACCCAGCAGCCATCCTGCACTGAGCGTTTGGTGTGCGGGCTCCTGTGCTAAGTGTTTCACATGCTCTTCCTCAATTGAACATCACATGAAGCAGGTGCAGTGTCACCCCAGAGGATGAGGAAACTGAGGCACAGAGGGTGGAAATCACTTGTTTGCCTCACCACTTATTCACCCTTCCAGGTCACCTCACCCTTCCAGGTCATCACACTCCAGATGAGATCTAAGGCCTCTCCTGAGGCCTTTCCAAGGACTTGGCCTGATCTAATCCCCATCTCTCTGACCTCCTGTCTAGCTATGTCCTCCTCACTCTGCTCCAGCCTCACAGGCCTCCTGGCCATCCTGGGTCAGGCTCCGTACATTCCCAACCCAGGGCGTTGGCACACACTCTTCCCTCTGCCTGGGATGATTGTCCGCCTCAGACCCACATGACTCATCCATTAGTTCTGCTCAGGTGCCCCCTCTTCAGGGGCTGCCCTCCCTCTGCACCCTGCAGCCTCCCATGGCTCCCTCATTCCCTCTGCTTCATTCCCGTCCTGGCACATGTCCTGCTCCAGGATTGTGTCATATATGCCCTTGTTGATCTGGTTTTTATCCACACCCTGCACTAACTAAAGTGTAAGCTCAGTAAGGACAAGGAGTTGGTTAGTTTTGCTCATTACTATTTCCCTGGCATCTAGGGCACAGCTTGGCACACAGTAGATGATCCATAACTATTTGTGTGCAAATCAATTTGTAAAATGGGGGACCACCTACCCCATACATTTATTGTGATGTTTAAATTAGACAATGTGGATATGCTTCGTATATATGCACATTACTTATGTATATGTGATATTCTGCATGGATAATTGGCTACATGTTACATATGCATATGTAGGGCCCACAGGCAGCAATTTTTCAGTGTGGGGCATTATCTCTCTCTATCCCTTCAACTGTGCTTCTCCTCCACAGTTTTAGGACTTGCCCAAAGGTGCCATCATCCTCTCCATCACCTGTGCTGGGAAGCTGGATAGGGAGGCCATTGGTAGCACTTGCCCAGTGCTCCAGCTCACACTTCTTCCTGGCACGAGGCAGGATTGACTTCCTGGTCCCTGTGGTTGTGGGGAGAGAAGTGGAACAAATAATTCTGGCCCATTTGTTGTGAGTAAAAGTGGTGCCTGCCAGTTCTGAGCTGGATATTGTTGTGACTGAGACCCCTCAGAGTTCTCATTCATCTGCCTCAGGGACTGGCAAGGTACCAGACGGTGGCCACTTATTGGCCAAGGTCCCTGAGTGAGGACCACATGGACAGAGCCTCATCTGAGCTTCAATGGACAAGAAGCCTGAGTAACAGACCTTTGTTGATTTGGGGCTGTTTGTTACATGGCAGAGCCGGCCTGTTCTGACTGATACAGTTACAGGGGGCTGGTAAGGCTACCCTTTAATCACATAGCAGAACAATATCTGGTAAGGACAGAGCAGATCTTGCTGTCACTGACTGACTTCGGTCCACTTATCATTTCTCCTCTGTTCCTGGAGAGGGATGGCAATGTGGAAGCTAACAGAGACCACACTCACTGCTCCATGCGCCAGCTGTGTGACCTTAGACCAGGTGGTACACTCTCTGTAGCTCAATTTTCTCTCCTGACACATGGGGTTAACAAGAATGTTCTCTCCTCCTCTCCAACACACACGTAGGTCCCCTGGGTAATTAAGAGAGGTAATGAATGTGAGAGCTTTGCAGGAGCATGGGCCATTGTTAAATTGTGGAAACTGCTCTGGGGTCCTGTCCAGGCCCATGACTCCATGCTCTTCGGTTTCCTGGTTCCTGAAGCTTCCTGGGAGGGTGGCCCTGGTCACTCAGAGATGTTAACACCCCTCAGGTGAGAAATCTGTGATAGGTTGGCCATGTCTCCTGGTTTGCTTGCTGTCACATTTAATGCAGGCTCCAAGCCTGGTCACTCAGTATCTCATCCTACACCTCACTCAAAGCTAACACCTGCTTCTTCCCACTAATGAGATTCTGCTTGGATACGCCGACTCTCACCCCAATCTTGTTTCTCTTTTCCGTTCCTGTCACATCCAGGAGAAAGGTGGTGCTCAAGTTATCTGTCACCCAGGGCAATAGTTAATTCTTTTGAGGTGAAATTCTTTAAGGGGTCGTCTTTCTGGCTGGATCCTTTCTGGGCTCCAGAATCCTGGCTGTGGCCCTGAGGGACTATCCCCCTCCATTTGGCATCATGTCACCTGAACTGTAAGAGTTCCTGGATCCAGGGCTTTAGGCATTGACTGAATGGCTCCTTGAGAAAGATGGAATCAACCTGTGAGAAGAGGGCGGTTGACAATTCACCATATAGGAAATTGCAGACTAAATACAACTTTGAATGATATTCAATGGAGCCTGTGGCCAAGACGTTATTTGCCAAATAGCCCACATTCTGCCCTGCAGTTCCCAGCCTCCTTTGCACTTATGTTCATACCATGTGACTAGTTCTGACCCATGGACTGTGAACAGAAGCAATATGTGTGTGTTAGTCTATTTGCACTGCTATAAAGGAATACCTGAGGCTGGGAAACTTATAAAGAAAAGAGGTTTATTTGGCTCACAGTTCTGCAAGCTATACATCAAGCATAGTGCTGACATCTACTTCTGGTGAGGGCTTTACAATTACGGCAGAAGGCAAAGGGGAGCCCACGTGTCACATGGTGCAAGAGGGAGTGAGAAAGAGAGGGAGGAGGTACCAGCCTCTTTTAAACAACCAGATCTCCTGTGAACTCATAGAATGAGAACTCACTCATTACTGTAAGGACAGCAGCAAGTGGTTTATGGAGGAGCTGCTCCCTTGACCCAAACTCCTCCCACTAGACCCACTTTCAACATTGGTGGTCACATTTCAACATAAAATTTGGAGGGAACAAGACATTCAAACCATATCGGTGTGTCATTTCCAGGCTGAGGTGGCCAGGAGCTAATGTGACTCCTCCATCCCTCTCTTCCCATGCAGAGGTGACTCAGGGGACTGCCTGTTCCAGACAGCATAGCTACAAGACAGAGAAGAAAGAAATGTTTATTGTGTTAAGACATTGATGTTTGGGGGTTTGTTTACAGCGGTGGCCAACATTAATAAATCTGACTGATACAGGGTGCTGTGAGAATGTAATTTCCATGTGGACAGGGACCTTGTCTGTCTTGTCCACCACTGAGGCACCAGTACATAACAAAGCATACAGAAGCTGCTAAATAAGTATACACGAATGACGGAATGAAGTCTCTATACAAATTTTCAGTTTCCTCACTAGGCAACTAGCGAAAACTCCTCCATTGAGGTGTTGCATGGACGGTGGTTTCTGTTCTCTTCTTCCTTGCCTGGTCCCACGGTCTCCAGGTTCCGTGGGTCCTTGCTTCTGAGGGTCTCTGCTGCTCCTGCTCATATCGCTTTGTCTCCTGATGTCACTTCCTTGTGACATAGGCCTTTTCTAGCATTTG